ACACAGACTGAGTTAGGAGCTGAGCACGATGCAGTAAAAAATAAACATTCATTTCAGAAATTTGAACAGAAAACTCTACTTTTTGATGGCTAAAAGTCATTTGCTTAAATACCTGTTGGGTCCAGGTGGACAATGAAACTTCCATGGACATCTGCTTGAAAAATAACGAACATGTGAACATTCCATAACATTCCATAACTAACAGCCTAAAAGACCCCATGGGGCAGTTCTGCTCTGTCCCATGGGGTCACTGTGAGTCAGAATTGACTGCACAGCACCCAGCAACATCACGTAACCGGGTAGCTTTCACTTTTTTAGCCATAAGCTCACCATTCATTGGAGCTCACTCAACAACAATGAGAAACAACAACAAAAATCTAGGGGTGCTTTTTCTTGTGTTAAAATACAAATAACACAAAATGTGCCATTTCATCCATTTTAAAGGGTAGACTGCAGTGGTATTAAATGCATTCATGGCCGGGGTATTTTGGAAACGGCTTTAAGAGGTGGCCCAGAAGTGGAGATGGGCGCTGGGGGCTTTTGGAGTGGCTTTAAGGGAGGCCAGGAAGTGAGCAGAATGGTTTGGAACAGCTAAGGGAGACTAACGTCTGTCGGCTTGTCGTCCTGTGGTGGCTTGCAAGTTGCTATGAGGCTGGAGGCTATCCACCAGTGTTGGAAGTGCTAGCAGGGTCACTCATGGTGGACAGGTTTCAATGGAGCTTCCAGACTAGGACAGACTTAGAAGAAGGAACAGGTCTTCTACTTCTCAAAGAATTGGCCAATGAAAACCTTATGAATAGCAGTGATACATTACTGGAAAACTCTGTGAATAGCCCTGAAACATCCAATATAGTGCCAAAAGATGAGCTCCTCAGGTCAGAAGGCACTCAAAATATGACTGAGGAAGAGTTGCCTGCTCAGAGTAGAGCCGACCTTAATGATGTGGATAGAGTAGAGCTTTCAGGACCTCCATTTGATGATGTGGCACTACTCAACATGAGAAGCAGCAGCTGCAAACATCCATTAATAATCAGAACATGGAATGTACCAAGTATGAATCTAGCAAAATTGGAAGTTGTCAATAATGAAATGGAATGCATAAAGCTCAATATCCTAGGCATGAGTGAGCTGAAATGGACTGGTTTTGGCCATTTTGAATCAGACAACTATATGGTCTACTATGCCGGGAATGACAAATGAACAGGCATGGTATGGTATCACAAAGAATGTTTCAAGATCTGTCCTGAAGTACAATGCTGTCAGTAATAGGATAATATCCATACACCTGCAAGGAAGATCAGATAATACTACTATTATTCAAATATATGCACCAACCACCAAAGCCAAAGATGAAGAAATTGAAGATTTCCACCAACTTCTACAGCCTGATATTGACCAAACATGCAATCAAGTTGTGTTGATTTTCACTGATGATTGGAATGCAAAAGTTGGAAACAAAGAAGAATCACCGGTAGTTGGAAAAGCTGGACTTGGTGATAGAAATAACTCTGGAGATCCCGTGATAGAATTTTGCAAGACCAATGACTTATTCATTGCATATACCTTTTTCCCACAACACAAACAGTGGCTATACACGTGGACTTTGCCAGATGGAGTACACAGGAATCAGATCAACTACATCTGTGGAAAGAGGCAATGGAGAAAAGCTCAGTATCTTCAGCCAAAACAAGGCCAGGAGCTGATTGTGGAACAGACCATAAATTGCTCATATGTAAGTTCAAGTTGAAGTTGAAGACAATTAAAAGAAGTCCATAAGAACCAAAATAAGACCTTGAATATGTCTCTCCTGAATTTAGAGACCATCTAAAGCGTAAATTTGATGCATTGAACATCAGTGACCGAAAACCAGAGGAATTGTGGGATGACATCAAGAACATCATCCATGAAGAAAGCAAAAAGTCATTAAAAAAACAGGAAAGGAAGAAAAGACCAAAATAGATGTCAGAAGAGACTCTGAAACTTGCCCTTGAACAGAGAGTAGCTAAAGCAAATGGAAGAAATGACCAGATAAAAGAGCTGAATGGAAGATTTCAAAGAGCAGCTTAAGAAGACAAAGTCAATTATTATCATGAAATGTGCAAAGACCTGGAGTTAGAAAACCAAAAGAGAAGAACACTCTTGGCATTTCTCAAGCTGAAAGAACTGAAGAAAAAATTTAAGCCTCAAGTTGCAATATCAGAAGAGCCTATGAGCAAAATATTGAATGATCCAGGAAACATCAAAAGAAGATGGAAAGAATACACAGTCACTGACCCAAAAAGAACTGGTCGATCTTCATCCATTTCAGGAGGTGACATATGATCTAGAACCAATGGTACTGAAGGAGGAAGTCAAAGCTTCACTGAAGGGAGTGGCAAAAAGCAGGCCTCCAGGAATTGACGGAATACCTATTGGGATGTTTCAACAAATGGATGCCCTGCTCGAGGCACTCACACGGCTATGCCAAGAGATTTGGAAGGCAGCTACCTGGCCAACTGACTGGAAGAGATCCATATTTGTACCCATCCTAAAGAAAAGTGATCCCACTGAATGTGGAAATTACCAAACAATATTAATGTCACATGCAAGTAAAATCCTACTGAAGATAATTAAAAAATGGCTGCAGTAGTATATTGACAGAGAACTTCCAGAGGTGCAAGCTGGATTCAAAAGAGGATGTGGAACAAGG